GCTGGCACCACAGCCTTTATCCCCACCCCTGTAACTCCCTGCCTGTGGCTACTCCCCCTCAGGAAGAAACAGGAAACTGGGTAGGGACCTCGGAAGAAGAGACAGGGAGGGGACCAAACACCTGTCACAGTGCAGCACGTGCCCTGTGTTCCCGGAATTTTAGGGAAGGACTGCAAGGTTTGGGGTCCCTGGCTGAAAGAACCGGTCCCCTCCTGGTCAGGCCACTCTGGGTGCCGTTAATGAAATGGGTCACTTGTCAAATTAAGCTGCTTGGCTAACCTTCGCCCATCTGGTGGTGGTGAGCTAGCCACGCCCCCCTCTTCCCAGAAACGCTGGCCCTGGCCCTGATGTCTCCGTTTGCTGATGTCCCCACTTCGGGTGCTGCCTGCTGGTTCCTCCTGGTGCTTCTTGTCCCACTAGGAGTAAACATCAGACGCTGGCGGATTTAGGGGCATCCCACAAACAGCTGACCTGTTGTGGTCAACGTCAACGTGGTCAGCATCTTCCAAACAGGAGAGTCACAGCATCTGCCACCGTCCAGAGGAGCCAAAGGGGATGTGATGTCCAGATCCCAGCAGTGTCCTGGGTGGATTCTGTAGCAGAGGAAGGACGTTGGAGAAAACGGCGAGACCCACCTACCACTTCCAGTGACTGTGTACCTGTCTCAGGAAGAGGTCAGCATGGGGCACCTGCCAGGTCTCCACCTCCCAGCCAGACTCAGGAAAGGTCTATGCTACCTTTGCAAAATTACCAAAACTAGTATAAAATAAAATTCCTATGTAAATATTAAAAATAAGGTGGCAAATCCAGTATTTCATCATAACCTGTGCACGTGTTTTTAATTTCTAAATTGAACATAACACTCCTCCAGTACAAGGTGCAAGTCTTCAATCCATGTCTCAGGACACTTTTATCGATGAGAGCACACCTCCAGCCTCCTYTCGGAGAAGAGTGAAAACATCTCAGGTCACTGAAGATGTCCTTGATCCTCCTCCATGTCAATCCCACTCAGAGCCCCCTTCAAGATTGGTTCTTGGAATGGAAAAGCACCAACGCCAGTCTTAGGGGTGTGTTCTGGATGTCTGAAGGCCTTTACTCCTCTGGGAGATAYGTGCATGTTGTTTCATGCTTTGATGGTTTTTTTTTTCTTCTTTCTGTATAGACTTCCATCTGCCAAGACCCAATGTTTTGTTTCATTTGTCTGTAGGTGGCCGCTTGGGTTCTCACGATTTTRGACTGTGGTGAATTCAGCTGCTGGGAACTCTTTTTTTTGCTTTCTCCTGAAGACTATGTGACTCCCTTTGGTCCACAGTGTGGACTGTGGGGACTGACTGTCTAGGATTAATTTCCAGCTCCACCATTCACCAGCTGTGTGACCTTGAGCCAGTGTCCTGACCATGCTGTGCTTCCAATTGACCCAAACTGTAAAAAAGGAGGTSAGMTCAYCCRTCACAGGCTGGAGAGATTCAACAAGGGAGTACGGGAAGCAGAAAAGAGCCTCACTGTAGGGGACATGAAGCACATGGACGCAACCCTGCTTCAGCCCCAAGTCCCAAGTCAGCACCATAAGTGAGGATGTCAGCAAAGCCTGGGTCAGAGGGGAGGTGTTTCTGGGAAACGGAGGCGTTGCTGGCCCACCCTGGCCACAGTGGAGAAGGAATGAAGAGTCGCTTTTTAGAAAAATAAGTCGTTGCTTTTAAAGAGGACAGTAGCCTGGCCGCAGCACCAGCRAACCCGTTCTACCTGCCTCAGAGCCCAGGCCACCTCCAGCCCCTCCCAGAAGTGGCTGGAACCTCGAGCCCTTGCCTGCCGTGGGGTGGGAGAGGCACAGGCTCCTCCCTCTACCCTCTTCTGGGCCCTTCCCCAGTGGCTTGTTCCTCTTCCTGACAGTGCATCCAGAGAGGGGTGGGGTGGGAATAAAAGCTGGGTCCCCGCAGCCCGGGGCACTGAGGGACAGCAGCGACCATGACTGATTCTAAGGAAGTGAGGATGCAGCCTCTGGGTCCTCCAGGTGAGGCTGGTCTGGGACTCTGGGAGTTGGGGACGGGGCCTGGGCGGCCAGCGTGGTCGCAGTCTGCCCAGGCGCTGACTGACACTCTGCCCGAGTGGCCGAGGACAGCTGAGCACCAGAGGCACGTCAACCTGCAGATGACGCCAACTTCTGGTTGCGATGGTTTGGCAGGTAGAGCCGGCATGCGGCTGAGGAGGAGTGGACAGCTCCTCCAGGACACTTGGGTCGGGACTCTAGACCCCGAGTTTGAAACCCCAGACCCTTTGGGGGAAATTGGGAGCTGGGCTGCCGCAGAAAGGTCGAGATGAAGGCCTGGGATCCGGTGCCCTGGGGATCAGGAGACGGGGGCCAGGCTGTCCCCGAACCAGGCTGAGGCAGGGACGCGGGGCGCTGGAGTCCCATCCTTCTCTCCTCAGGGTGTCTGGGCCAYGGCCACACCTTCGTGCTGCAGCTGCTCGGCCTCACGCTCTTCGCTGGGCTCCTGGTGGCCCTTCTTGTCCAAGGTCAGGGCCGCCTGAGGGTTGGTGTGGTCCTTCAGCTGGAGCCAGGGGACGGGTGGGGGAGGCAGGATCTGGCCCTTCCTTCAGCCTCTTCTGGATGCTTGTTCTTCCGCAGGGGAGCGAGGGAGGCACAGGGAGGCTCCTGGGCCACTCGCCCTCCTGGTTCCGGGTTATCTGGGTGTCCTCATCCTCCAACAGGATTGATTAACTAGACATAAGTGATGTCCGTAGGGGTCCCGTGCRGGCTGTGGCACACAGTCGGTGTTTAATAGTTGCAATCTATTTGTTGGGCACAGTCTCCAAGGTCCCCAGCTCCCAGGAACAGGAGCAGGAGCTGGCGAAGCAGGAGAAGGTGTACCAGGAGCTGACCCAGCTGAAGGCAGGAGTCGGTGAGTGACCAGACACTGCGTCTCCCGGGCCTCAGAGGGTCTGTGCTGTGGGGCTTTGCCTGAGTCCTTGGTCCTCTCTGAACCTCAGTTTCCTGGGCTATTTTATGGGAACACAGGATAACAGTGACAGTGGC